AATAGAAATGGAGAATATGGTAGGAAGGCAAGAAAACTTTAGGTGTGAACAAGAATAACTGCCATGTTTTATTGCTGCCAGCAGTCTAACCACCGGTCAAACTAAAACTGAACACATCCATGTTGGGTTTTGTGCATGTCAGGCTTCCTAGCAGAGCAAGGGCAACCATGGATGAAGCAACAAAAGATCACAAAGGAGGATAAAAGTGAAAAATTAATTTAACAGCCAGCTGGACTTCAGCTGACTTTCACTAGATGTAATGCATACATCTAAGGCTGTAAAAAGGTCTAAAAATGCATTGCCAGGTTCTGAAATGTATTGTATACTAAAAGAATTGAGTACAAAAGGAACAACTTGGCTTTATATATTTTCAGTTGGAAAAAACCTTCTTCAGAGTGAAAGAGAGAGAAAAATATGGAGTGAAAAGAGAAGAGACAAAGTAAAACAAAGGGAATCAAAAGCACACTTACTGCAGTAACTTTGGACTTTATGCTTTGCCAGAAGGTTTTAACATCATAAATATTGTTCATGGACAAAGTATTCCACACCCGGATCATGCTGTCTCCGACACCAATGGCAAGACAGCCTGTGTCCACAGGGGAGAAGGCAAGACTATAAACGAACCCCCCAAGCGAGGGCATGGTCCAGCTACAATCGAGAGCTGATAGGTCCCAGCACTTCACCTGAATATTTAAGGAACAAGGAATGGTTAAATGTAGAGTGACTGGTATGACAAGGAAAATCAAAGCATGAGTGAGATGAAGAATGAAAGGATCAAATTCGAGGCTTGACATAGTATGTGATCTACACCTAGAGAATTACATGTCACAGACAGGGCTGCAGTAGTTGGAAGACTCCAATGGAATGGAGAAAACGACTATATTTTAATACTACAGTCCTCTTCTAACTTCAAAATAGGAGGTGCATCACTGCCTGTAAAAGGCAGAAAGTTAAAAAAAAAATAGATGCTTTAGTTTGTACAAGTAAATGATTTTAAGAAGGAAAAAAAGGCCTTTAAAAAATAAAACATACAGGAGAAAGAAATGGTAAACTCCCTTTATTAAATGCTAACCATTCAAGTGCAGAATGTCATAATCATTCACTCCACCATGGTAAGAGTTTGGGCTTATAAACTAACAAAAATATACACAACCTGTTTGCAGAACAAATTTTAAGGAATGATGTTATAAAATGCTGCAATAAACCCACCTTAAGACAAATTTGTGGCCCTAAAAGGAGTAGCTGCACTCAGTCAAACTGTATAGGTACAGCTATTTTTATGTTAATTTTGTAAATGGTTCTTACATCTCTGTCCATTGAAATGGAAAAAAGGAACTCTTTGTCTTGACGCTTCACAGAACTCAGATTGAACACAATCCGGGAGTGATTTTGTCCTTCTGAAGATCCCAGAAGAGTCCACTTGCGTTTTCCAGACTGGGTCAAATCCCAGAGCAGCAATTCTCCTCTGCAAAATTTAAAGTGTGTACTTCACTGTTCACTTCAAAAGAATAATATAGGCTAAATATAGACTATATTACATGTGCAACAGTAATACAGCTACAGACACATCCACTATATGTGCCTATACATAGATACACACACAAACACCACCCTACAAATGATTCCCATAGTTAACCACACTGAAAACTGACATGTCATTTTTCTCCCATTGGATGGGCAAGCCATTAGCAGTCAATATTCAGTTAGATTATCAGACAAATTACGGGATAAATAGTAGTTTTCTAGTACTGAACTCCCACTTTAACATTTGGCCTGTCTTCTCTCCACTTACACTGGGAAGGAAGAGGGTGTCCAAGTTTCCTACCCAGTTCTTCTTAAAAAAGAAGTCTTAATCTGCACTTCCTGAAGGTACCCAGTGGTACCCTACTTACCCAAAGGAGCTGGATACAATTTCTGTGGAACGACCAGAAGGCCAGTGAACAGTCAGCCAAATGCGCTCTTTAACAGCGGGATCAATGGCTCCACCTCTTCTCTTTGTGGGTGGCAACTTCAAAGTCATCACACCTATGGAACAAAGAGGGATCATCTAAACCTAGTACAGCAAAGTTCTCTGAGGGAAAAAGCAATCCTGTGAATCTGAAGCTTTAAACCACCAAGTTAGTAAATGAAGGCTGCAGTTCGAATGTAATTCTTTCACCATATTATTACTGTATATTGCAGATTATTAATCTTACTTACTTCTGCCTCTAGTACAGCTCCATATTCGTATGGTCTGATCTTTGCTTCCCGAAGCCAGGTAACAGCCTTTCTTCGTGGTTGTGTCCTGTGTCAGCTCCCCATTTGGAACTTTGCCTTCCTCTGAAGGAACTACTGAATACCAATGAAGTCATGTTACTATAATTTAAAATTCAAAGCTTTATGAAAATTAACTGACAATATATTGATTTGTAACAGAACATACTTTATTGAACTTACCACTTGCCTCTGCTTAGCTACTTACTGACTTTCTATAAGGAATTCAATTCTCTAGAAGTACATTTACATTAACTAAAAACCACTTCACAGGCTATTAATCACCTCTACATACCTTGGAGGTCATCTTGCCAAGCAGGTAACCGTTCTTCACCAGGCACAGGGCACCAGGCCAGACAATGTATTTCATCGTCATGGCCTCTTAGCCGTATCAATTATAACCACCATGCCATCCTTGTAGCTAAAACGAGAGATTTAAATTAATGAAGAGATTCTTACATCCTTGTAGAATAATATCTGAGTCGATTTCCCAGCTCTTTACCAGGATCACTATCACCATATTACAGACAAGAGAAGCCAAATCACAAGTAGCAATGGGATTAGCAGACTAACGGTCAATAGGAGCTCCAGTATAGCACCGATGTACCTGCAGCTGCCTTTTCAAGAAGTGCAACCAGTACGTTTGGCTTCAAGAATGACAGCAATTTGTTAGTAATACAGTTTTCAGAGACTTAAAAAACAACAATGGCTTTTATACAAGGAAAACTTGTATAACACAAAGGCAAATTACTTTTATTCCTTCCTTCCTCTTGTGTCTGTTCTCCTTCAAGAGAACTATCATCAAGTCTAAAGGGCTTTCCTGTTCCTGCTCTGTTCAATACAATCTTGGGTGTCTAAAGGACTGGAATTGCAGTGATTGACAAAGGCGTAGAAAAACTAAAAAACTCTCTTCAGATGAACTAACCTATAATGCAACAAACACCAGTGCAGTCTAATTAAAAAACAACAGTTTAAAGAAACTTCAGAGATGCAAACCAAACCTGGACCCTTACACTGGTAAGGATTTCTATGTCTTGCAGGTCTGCCAAATCTAAATGTTATTTCTAAATTATTGGATACTGGAAGAAAAAAAATAGCCACCAAACCCTCTTAAAAATGACCTTACAATTGTGTAGCAAAAATTAACAATAAGGTTTTTGCAGAAGAATAACAGAAAAAAACCTATAATGAATATTTACCCAATTGCTACCAGGTTTTCATGATGAGGAGAACAAGTGAGACAAAAAATTGTCCGAGGCTCTGGGAAGAACTGCTGGCTGTCACTTCTGTTGTGCCAGTAACAAATAATTACACCTTTTTCATCACCGGATACAATCAGATCTTTCACAAGAGGTGACCAGTGCAATGCTGAGATCGCATTCTATAGAAAAAGAATTGAATATGTTAAAAGCTGTCTTACCACCATCTAACACAGACTAACTAATAATCTGGAAGTACACCCCAGCATTAGTTGAGTTTGTTCTAAAGTGTTTCAGTTCTTTTGGGCTTTGGCATGATGGACGTATTTGCCAATATAGCGTCCTGGGTGACAGTAACCGTTCAAATATATGTTCTTCGTCTGTCCTGTGTGGAACAATAACTTGCTGAAAAGATTTTAAGTGAGCTGGGTTAAGCGGCAGTGAATATGCCCTGCGAGCATACTCGCTCACTGAGGCTTTGATGGTAACCAACAGCTTATTGAGGTGATGTAACAACGCTGCAGGCCTAAGGTGAGAACAAAACGCTGGCCAAAAGCATTCAACGGTTTTAATTTCACCGGGTTTGGAATTCACCTTTGCTGAAATAACACCACCCTGCTTTGTCTGCAAGACCTGCAAACGCCCACCCCACCCTGTGGGTTCTTTCTGTCTCGCTGTCTCCATCCCCGCAGCGGTGGCTCCCGCTGGGCACCCTACCTGGTGCAGGCTGTACTCCGCCACCGGAGCCAGGGCCTCCACGTCCCAAATTTGGACGCTTCCATCGTCGGAGCTGCTGGCGCAGAGGCTGCTCTGCCCGGGGCTGTGGCAAAACGCGAACCCGGAGATCCTGTCCGTGTGCCCGATGAGCTCTCCTGCACCGACAGCAAAAGACCGCGA